AACAAACTGTTAACAACCTAAAGATCTATCATGTGCAAAGAACTGAATAAATAATAGATTGTAAAGATGCTTTATATAGCATTATCTATAATAGCAACAAACTGTTAACAACCTAAAGATCTAATGTGGAAAGAACTGAATATTGTATACCCTACTCTGGAATTTCCTGTAGCTCTTTTATAAAATGACTTTCTACTGAGCTGGAAAAAAGCAAGTTGCAGAATAAATGTTTAGGATGATTTTATTTTCTAAAACACATGCAAATACATTCAAGTAAATAAAAGGAGATGAGAAAGATACAAAACAAAGAGTCGTGGCTATCTTTGGTAGATAGGATTAGGAGAAGTGTATTTTCACTTTATATACTACTGCTTTTTTTTTTTTTACTTTTTACAATAAACTTATATTACTTTTATAACAAAAAATAAGCCCACCCTATAAAACACACACACACACACACACACACACACACACACACAGACACACACAGACACACACATCTCTATATATAAGATAAGCCCACCCTATAAATCTTGGGAGTACAGAAGCCTACAAATATATAGAAGAAGCCCACTGTATAAAACACATGCACATATACATATAATATATATACATATGCATACATACAAATATAATATATAATGTATATCTAATACATAATGTGTATATATTTATATATACATGTGTATGTATATAGATGAAACAAAAAAGTGATTTGAAATCTGACTACACAGAAGCAATTATTGTTAACATATCAGCACTTTTCACTTCATGTTATGTATTTTAATCATATTTTGGATCATATGCTATGTAATTTTGAGCTTGTTTTTCAATTAATATAATATTGCATTTCCCTATACCATTAAATACACATTAACATAAAGTTTAAATATATTTTAATTTGGAAAATAACACATGTTCAAAATAGAAAATTTTGAAAACGAAGACCCAAAAGAGAATGAAAATCCCACAGTCTTAACTACCCACAGATAAATTACTTTAAAAAATAATGAATGACAAATGTAAAGAATGGGATTAATAATCTTTAGATTGTGCACACTGTCTCATTGATTGATGCATGGTCCTCTTTTATTTTTACCCATTAACTTGTCTTTTTATTTAATGTTAATAATAATCATACAATTATTATATAATCAATGATAGGATTTTAATTAAAGAAGCACACCAACCACTACACAACACACCTGGGTACTAGAATATTAACCATAATGTGAATTAATGTACATAATCCTCCCATATCTGACCTTCTTTCCTCAACCTCAGTGACCATTATCTTCAATTTTTAAAATTTTTTTGCTTTTTAATAAATTATTTGTATGTGTATGTAGCCCTAAATAATATAGTGCTTAATTTTACTTGTTTTTGATAATATAAAAAGGATATCCTATTATATGCAGTCTTTGAGCCTTGACATCTTAATATTCTTGATGTAAAATCTACCCATATTGTTATATGTAGCTGTAGAATACTCTTATCATAACTATATAATATTTTATGTGAAATATACCATGATTTATCCATTTCCTTTTTGGGACTTTTACAACTAACATTTTAGTGTATATATTCTAGCTATTTTCCTGAAGGCATTTAGTTTTCCCTCTACAAAACATGAATATTATACATATTTTCTCTCACTGATGCTACCTTATGAACATATTCCCCTTTCAGTAAATATTCTTCTATGGTATAAATTTAAATGACTGCATGGTATTCCATTAGATAGTTACAATACAATATTTCAACCACTCCAACTGTTAGACATCTGATTGCTTATAATTTTTTGGCCATGATAAACATTATGATGTACATGGTCTTGTTTGGCTCAGTAAGTCTCCTTTTAGAAATTTATCCTAAGTATAAAGAAAATGTGGCACATATACACATTGGAATACTACACAGCCATATAAAAGGATGAGTTCATGTCCTTTACAGGACCATGGATGGACCTGGAAACCATCATTCTTAGCAAACTAACACAAGAACAGAAAACCAAACAGGACATGTTCTCACTCATAAGTGGGAGTTGAACAATGAGAACACGTGAATACAGGGAGAAGAACATCACACACTGGGGCCTGTTGGGGGTGGGGCGTTAGGGGAGAGAGAGCATTAGCAGAAATACCAATGTAGATGACGGGGTGATGGATGCAGCAAACCACTACAGTATGTTTATACCTCTGTAACAAACCTGCACGTCCTGCACATGTACCCCAGAACTTAAAGTATAATGAAAAAAAAAAAAAAGAAATTTATCCTAAGTAATATTCGAACATATCTGCACACAAATATGTATAGGAAAACCATGTAGAATGACACAGTTTGTGTTCTTCACACCTTACATAAAGTATGTTGCTGATCACAGAAGTTTTTATAATACAAAAAAATTGGAAGGAACTTAATGCCAATCAATAGGACATGGAGTAAACATTTATTAAAATTATTACAAAGCTGCACAGTAACTGACGTAGAAAGTTGCTCACAACTTACTAAGTGTAAGAAAGAAATAGGTTAAATTGCAGTATGATTACATTTTGTACAAGAAAAATATACTAATAAAAGTGCCTAGAAGAACATACACAAAAATGTTTACAGTGATTATCTCTGGATATTAAAATTATTTGAGAACTTATTTTCTTCAACTTGCTAACTTATATTTTGAAGTGTTTTCAACAGCAAAACTTGATTCCATGTATAAGAAAAAAAGATGAACAAATAATAGTTTTGTGCACAATCGTTTAAATATTTTTCTTGAATAGAAAATTCATTGTAAGAACTTAAAAGAAAATAAAATCATACATAATCCTGTCCATCCAGTGATAGTTTAGTCTCCAATACATTTAGTTATAGTCATTTGTCATTGATTATATATTTTAAAATAGTTGCCATCACACTTTGTGTAACCTTGTATGCTGATTTTTCACTAACATTACAAAATGAATATGCCATAGTATTTTAATGGAAGAATATTTCATCATAGGTAATGGCACATTTATTTAATCATTCCTTTAATGTCTAAGACTTAAGGTTTTTCTGTTTTTCACTATGCCAAATAACCATATGAGGAGTATCTTTGTGCATGAATTATCCACATTTTAGATAATTTCCTTGGACAGATTCCTTGAAGTGAAATATACTAAACCATTTTTGTATCCCTTGATATATATTTTCAAATAATACTTTATATATTTTTTAAGGCAAAAAAGTAGCAGGGGGAAAAAAAAGAGGTCAAAACACCTGGATCCCATGGCTGTTGTTAGCACTCAGATTAGTAAAACTGACATATAAACATGCTCTTTTATCAAAGTCACAAGGCTATATTGTAAGAACCCAATGAGAAAATAGATTCTTCAGTCACAATAAATGTGACTTCCTGAGGAATGCTTTCCTTGATTTTCCAGACTCTCATAGCATCCCATATGTACTTCTTCTTCACGGCTTTACAATTGACAAGTAAGTTTTTAATTATCTGTATATTGTTTGTTTCTCCCAGATGATTTTAATCTTTATCAAAACATGCCTGGCATATCGTTAGCACTCAATAAATATTTGTTGAATGAATGAATGAAGTGACAGTCAGCACTTTTAGTAAACTATAAATCATTAGACATTCAGAAGGTATTTCTATTTTAATTGATATTATTGTTATTGTTCCTTTTTATTATCATATAGATGATTCTAAATCTTTAGAGATTCCCCGCCTAACTATAAATTTCATTATGTGGTTTTCTTCCTTTTCATGCCAGCCAAAGGCATGGGTAGCAACATTGCTGAAAGCACCTGGTGGGAGCTGAGACTTAGAGAACCAAGTTCTTTAGATCAGCATGTTGGGATTTAAGGAGTTGTAGCTACCATCAGTCGGACACAATGAAGTGGTCAGGAACCCAGGAGGTTGTGATATTTGAAGCAGGTAGATGCTGGAAGTTAGAAATAAACTAATGGTAAGTGCTCCACATGGTAAGGTGCAATCTGGAGAATAGTCAGTAATAAGGGATTCGGATAGATAGAAGAGTTAAATTCCAAGCACCAGGACTCAAAGCATGGAGCTAAGAATATGATTCTGAAGCAAAGGGTAATTGAACTCAGTGCTCCCTTATATTCTTCCAGCCAAAACTGAAAATGGTATCAGAAAGTGTTTGCACCTATTTACATATACATGACCAAGGGAATGGTAGTAGCTGGTTGGGGAATAAAAGCTATGAATACAGATAGATTCTGGTAGTGACAGGATCACAAAAGACCATTTGTATATGAGATTGTATAATTTTCTACACATAATATGGAAGCAATTGATCTTTGGATCACATCATTCTATCATGATTTTAAACAGCAGATATTATAGCATAGTGGTTACAATCACGGACTCTGGCAACAGGCTAGCCGGGTTTAAAATTCTGGCTCTATTATTTCATAGTTGTGTCCTGTGGACAATTTACTTCACCTCTGTGTGCCAGTTTCCTCATCTGTAAAATAGGGATAATGATAGTATCTAGATTCAATGGGTTGTTGTGAAGATTAAATGAGTGAGGATCTTAGTATGTGAGGATTAAATGAATAAGGATCTTTGAACAGTGCCTGGACATAGCAAATGCTATGTTAAGTGTTATTGTTGTTATTATTATTATACTACTTTTTAATCACATCATAAGACCAACAATAAAAGTTAATATCATTTAAAATGGACAAAGAGTACACTACATGTTAACTTTACCTAAAATACCAGTCTTAAGCAGGACTTTTCCTTATTAAATAAAAATTTCACTTAGACCTAAACATATAAAAACTGCAAGCACTAGTGAAGTAGTAAAATTTATTGCAGCAGTCCTATCCGGTTATTCTGCAGAAGCTTTATTATGGACACTATCTTTAAAAGTTGTAGGGATTAAATACTCATTTCCTAATCATAAAAAAAAACTGCAGTACAGTTGATTCATAAGATCTGGTCTATAAGGAGGAATGTCCCATTAAATGTTTTTTGAAGCTAATTCAACTAGAAGCAGAAATGGTTGAGTTGGAAGATTTTTCTGTAGAGTGATATTAACATGGGAAGGCTTAGATGGAAGAAGACTAGATTTGAAAACCCCTGGGCCTGGGGAAAGGTGGGAAGACTTGGACTACAGAACATATTAGAATACCTGGATACTACAGACCTGAATGTTAGAAGATCAGCACACTGGAGACGTCGGAAGACATGGATATTGAGCCATTGATGGAAGACTGGGTAGGTGTTGGAAGACCTGAAGATGTTGGAAGACATGAAGATGCTGGAAGACACACAAATGCTGGAAGACGTGGAGATGTTGGAAGACAAGCAGATTCTGGAAGCCCTGGAGATGCTGGAAGACATGGATTTGTTGGAAGACGTCGCTTAGTTGGAAGACATATTTTCAGGAAGACGTGGATTTTCTGGAAGACATGGCTTCATTGGAAGACATGATTTTTCTGGAAGACGTACCTTTGTTGGAAGACGTACCTTTGTTGGAAGACGTACCTTTGTTGGAAGACGTACTTTTGTTGGAAGACACAGGTAGGCTGGAAGACATTAATTTAATGGAAGACATGGCTTTTTTGGAAGACGTGGATTTGCTGGAAGACACGGATTTCCTGGAAGACCTGGATTTTTCGGAAGCCATGTAGTTGAGGGAAGACAAGGATTTGTGGAAGACATGGACAGTCTGGAAGACCTGGATACTTTTGGAAGACGTGGATTTTCTGGAAGACATGGCTTTTTTGGAAGACGTAGATTTTCAGGAAGACCCGAATTATCCGGAAGACCTGGATTGTTTGGAAGACGTGGATTTTCTGGAAGACTGGGAGGTTACTGGAAGACACGAATTTTCTGGAAGACATGGACTTTCTGGAAGACGTGGATCTTCAGGAAGACATATATTGGCTGGAAGACCTGGATTTTTTCCGGAAGACGTGGATTAACTGGAAGACCTGGATTTGGTGGAAGACGTAGATTTTTCTGGAAGACACTGACTGACTGGAAGACCTGGATTTCATTCTGGAAGACACTGACTGGAAGACCTGGATTTCTTTCTGGAAGACACTGATTGACTGGAAGATCTGGATATTTCCGGAAGCACTAGATTTATTGGAAGACTTGGATTTGGTGGAAGACATATTTTTCTGGAAGACATGGATTAGCTGGAAGACGTGGATTTTCCTGGAAGATCTGGATTTGTTGGAAGACCTATAATTGCTGGAAGACTGGATTTACTGGAAGACTTGGAGGTTCTTGGAAGACATGGATTGCCTGGAAGACGTGGATTGTCTGGAAGACGTGGATTTTCTGGAAGCTCAGGATTGTCTGGAAGACCTTGAGATTGTTGGAAGACTTGAAGTCGCTGGAAGACCTGGAGTTGCTGGAAGACGTTGACACTGGCGCCAGTGGAAACCCTGGACATTGGGAACATTGTGAGCACAGGACGTTGGAAACATTGCAATAGATTTTAAAGACATTGGTTATTCTGGATATTGACGATTCTGGAGGCCCTGAACATTGGCATATTAAATATTGGAAGTCATAGAAACTGAAATCTCTGGAAATTATAGATATTGTAAGTCCTGTACCTTGGAACTCCAAAATACTGGCAGATATGAACAACAGCAGATGTAGACATTTAGAAATTCTAAAATGAGAAGCCCTGTATATTGGGAGACATTGGTAAGCATGGATATTGACATGTTTATGCCAAAAGACAATTTGGAAAAATTAAATTTTAATGAGGTTGGAGGTCAAGAATACTGCCAGCCTGGACAATATGAGACCAGGATATTAAGAGATCTATTTATTCAAACATGAGGATATTGAAGTACCTGAAAACTCTGAGATGTAGTTCTTGCAGGTATTTAATAACTTGGGCATTGGAGGAATTGGCAGTGAAAAGACACTGTAAAACTAAAATGTAGGAGACATTTAAAAATGTGGAAACTGAACGATGTAAGTGCTGGAAGACATTGAAGAAGCTAGGCTTAAACACTGTGAAATACATAGGCTCTGGAAGAACTGTATATAGGAGACATTGGAGGATTAGGACCATAGAAGACTTGTAATTTAGAACTCCGGATCCTAAAAGACAAGAGCTGAACTTCGAAGATGGACTGTTGGAAATATTAGAAGACTTAAATTTTTAATGACTCCAATATTGGGAAGTTTAGAAACAAAGTCATTGGAGATGGTGCATGATGGGAACTGGAACATACGGATGTTATAATATTTGGAAGAGCTGGCAATTGATATTGGAAGCTGCAAGCTTAGAAGACTTGAGTTAGAGAAATGGAAGAATAGAAAGGCCTAATCTTAATGGTATTGGAAAGTCATGTTAAAAGACAGTAGCAATATTGAAAGAGTTGTGTATTAGGGCCTAGATATTAAATTAAAACACATCATGAAACTACTCTTGTAGTCTTTAATACTATTGCATCTCTTCTGCTAAAAAGCAAAACAAGGAAATATCATCTTAGGAAGGTAAGAAAGAGAAGGCAGGGTAATTCAAGAAAAAGCATATAGCTTAAATGGTTTGGAAGCTATCTTCATAGTCTCAATGAACTGGCCTTATGGGTTAACAAGATGGGAATGGGAAATTATCAAAGAATAAGCAGTATCTAGCTTAAGAGAACTGCTTGGCTTTAGATCACAGATAAATGAACATTTTCTGTAAAGGTTCAGAGGTAAATATTTAAGGCTTTACAGGTCCATGGTCTCTGTTACAACCACTCAACTCTCCCATTGTAGTGTAGTTACAGACAGTAAGTAAATGAATGGGAATGGCTGTGCTGCAATAAAACCTGACTTAAAAAAAACAGTTGGGCTTCATTTGGCCCAAGGGCCTTAGTTTGCCATGCCCTGCTCTAATGCCAAATCAAGGATAGGGTAAAGTCAAGTACATTCCAGGCTAGCATTCGCATATAGAGAACAAACAGAGAAATTTGAAGCCCGATGCTAAAGAGCAATATCATGTGCCATAATGATACTCAGGAGATGAAGCTAGCAAGAACCTAAGAATGGGGTTTAGATCTCTAGGCAATTGTTTGGAAAATTGCCCAAATAGGGAGTCTTGTATTCAGAGCCAAAATTAAATTGGTTGCATTCAAGGGCCCAACCAGTAGGGCTGAGGATCAATGAGGATGTCCTCCTAATTTAGTAGGCTGGAAGTTCAAGAAAATTATTGAAGAGCCAGGTGTGGTGTTTCATACCTGTAATCTCAGCACTTTGGAAGACCAAGGTGGGCGGATCACAAGGTCAGGAGTTTGAGACCAGCCTGACCAACATGGTGAAACTCTGTCTCTACTAAAAATACAAAAATTAGCTGGGCATGGTGGCATGTGCCTGTAATTCCAGCTACTCAGGAGGCTGAGGCGAAAGAATTGCTTGAACCCGTGAGGCAGAGGTGGCAGTGAGCCAAGATTGTGTGACTGCACTCCAGCCTGGGTGACAGAGTGATACTCCATCTCAAAAAAAAAAAAAGTTAGAGAAGAAATCCACCCCTATAAATTGGACATATATGGAGGGGAAAAGGAAAAAGATTATAGCTTGGTAGACTCTTCTTAGGCATCCTGGCTTCAGGTAATATATGCAATTTCTTAAGAGACAAAGAGCTTAAGTGATGAGCTTAAGGGATTAGAGTTGAGCTATGATGGGCTGAAGGCCCTTAGTACTTAGATGAGGCTGAGGAAGTCAGGAGCTATCACATATATTACATGAAAGAGAACATTGGCATACAAAACTGGGAAAGTACACTGGAACTGGGCCTTGCATGATTAAAAGATCAAGTAGGAGAATATATAAACAATGGGTGGTCATTAAACATCTTTGAACAAAGAGGTATTAGAAGCAGAACTATACATAAGAGAAGTCTGCTGAGCAGCAAGGCGCGGAATAGCAAAGACTACTAGATATATATAGTAGAACACCTAACACTCCAAGCTGAAACACTTGAAGGGTTGGGATGTGAGGCTAATATAGTTATGCAGGTAAGTGGTAGTGGGGGCTAGAATTAAGGCAGTGACATTTCTGTCACTCAAGAGACACAGCATCAGAGTTATGATGACTACTCAGCATTCTGAATACCACTATTTTTAACTTCCTGAATGCCATCATAGAATACGTGAAATACAAAGAAGTTCAGAAGCCAGCTGTGAGGAAGTTTCCTTCCCTACTAAGATTACGTAGACTTAAAAAAATTCTATCAAAAGGCAGCTGAGCTAATAGCTTGGTGGTCAAGCCAAGCAGGTCCTATTTAGCTTTATCTTTATCCATATCACAGTTACTTAATTTTCTTTGAAGTGGAAACAAGTGGATGGATTATTTTCTAGAGAATAGGAACATATCCGTGTCCAAAACTGTGATTACCTCTAGTCACCACACAAATAAATGTCATGCAATAATAACCACATAATAGAATAAAGAATCACTGCAGATCCGGGAGTAATTTACAGAAAAGGAAATTATTGATTCAGGTATCCCTCATCAGCAAACAAAAATAAATACTAGAACTCATTTTTAAACTTCCTTCTCTCATCTTAAAACCATCATGCATACCTTAATTTGAGGGAAATTAACTATCAAAATGTTAAAATGTTGCAAAGATAGATACAAATTCATATTCTAGTTGCATAATGCTTATTCATGTTATAATAATAATCATAACAGCAATTTATTGAGCGCTTACTATATGCCAGGCACTGTACTAAGCATTTCATATAATCTTATAACAATCTTACAATGCAGGTATTTTTGACCCCATTTTACAGATCAGAAACTGAGTCTGGAATGGTTAAGAAATATGCCCACAGTCACACAGCTGGTATTTGGTAGGAGCAGGATTTCAAAGCAGATCCGTGTGATTACAAAGCCTTGGCTCTGTGCTCATTCTACACAGCCCAGTTATCCAGGGGTTATACTGCCAGGACTAAGCACAACTCACCCAAAAAGAGGGAGCCCCCAGCCCAGAGCAAACAAGAAGTCAGTGGCAAAGCCCTCACTTGAAGTCCCATTTTCTTATCATTGTGACACTCACTATATCACCGCCAAGTACTCAAGAACCAACTCTAGGTGCTTGCAAAGATGAGTTAATTATATCTTTGGCTTTATGTAGCTAGCAATGCTACAATGAAAGATGAAGCTGCAATGTCTCAAACACAATAGACTCATACTTAATTTCTCAATATTTGTCATTTGTGCTAATACTTGTTCTTTCATTTATTTTCTATTTGATTTTATAGTTCCCAGTAATATATATACTCTGTTCATAGTATATCGTATTTATTTCTGAGTTCTTAACCATAACACACTGGCTTCAAAGGCCATTAAAAGGTAATAATACTATGTAAAGTTCAGTGATCAATGCGTTTCACATCATAAACGTTGCTCACACAAGCTTCTAGACTGTATGTACTGTCAAAACCCTTTATTAGCATTTGGGTGGTAGAAGCTATGTAATCCAAACACGTAATTTAAAGTTTTCTCTGCATCTCGAACTTAATAAGATTTTAAACAAAAAGTTTGTTTTAAATGTAATACAAGTTTCCTAACATATTCTTTATATTTCATCAGCCTGGGCTGCCCTTTCTCCTCACCCCCCTTTTTTTTTCCTTTTGTAGCAATGGTTAAATATGTTTTTAAAGAAAGAAATTTCCAGCACTTCACAATATTTAACTCAAGAATTTACCCAAACGATTGACAACAGATTCTCTCCACTCAAACTGTACATAAAACATGCTAAAAGAAATTTCAGTTTTTATATTTCGGGGACTATTCTTAAAGAAGAAAAAAAATGCCCATTTACATGGCAGCGTTGTCATTAACTTCTATTTCTACCTTTAGCTTATACCAAACTTTCAGGTCCTCCTTCCAGTTTTACAGACTTGTTGAACTCAACCACAGTAAAATGTTCTTTCACTCTCATCAGTGATACTTCCTAGGTTGTTTTAACTGGATATTGTCTTAAACAATAATTAGACTTATCCCATTATTTTATTTCAAATGACCTGGGACCTAGAAAAATGTTTCAATATATCAAGCCAAGGTCCTTTGACAATTAAAATCATATAATAGTCAATTTCTCATCACTTATAAGAGTTTCTAGTTGATATAATTCAATTTAAACTTTTATTTCTCTAATTCTGGTCAAACTAAATGAAAAAAATATTGCCAAGGTAGTAATCTCAATAAATGGTAAAATTATCAAAACAGCTCATTCGTTAAAGTCATACAGAACCACTGATTATACTAATGAAAATATCATTCACTTAAAAATATTTACCTGTATACATGATTAAGAATAAGCAAATGATCTATGAAAACAAAGAATTCACCATAGAGAGTTCTCTGCTTTGGTTTATGGAAACAATAGATAAAAAATATTAGAGCACTTTACACACAATATCCGTGCATTATTTTTCCTAAACCCTATAACCCAGAGGGAAAGAAAAGCAACTATCACAGAAAAAGAAATTCCCAGTTGGTACTTCCTCTCTTTCCTTTAAGATAATTGATGCTTCTATTGCCTTGTTTCTATGGCATTATGCTCTACTTTCTTTTCTGGGAGGGACTAAAATATGGTAAAACGTGAACCATGAGCACAATTACGCAATGCAATAATACTCCTCTTTACCTTGGTCTCTATGAAAAAGTTTAGGTATTCTCAAAATCAACCACTGACATTGATGGAGCTTTCTCTCAAAGTAATAGAATAGAAAGACTTTAGACACCAAGTGGTCTTATCCTCTCACTTGAAAGACAAGGCAACACAGGAGTGACTTGAATAAGACCATTCATTGAACTAGTGGCAGAACAAACACTTTGAATCAAGGTTTCCTAGTTCCTGGACCCACTACCATTTATATTTTCTATCATAATTTTCTTTAGCTTTAAAACAGTTTGCATGCCATGGCTATATAAAGAAACACTGGAGGAACTTTTGAAATATACAGATTCTGGCCCTATCCCTGACTGAGCACGTCTGTGTGCAGTTCCTTGAAATTTATATTTTTCAAAGCTTTCTGTCATTACTCTGATATACAGTCAGTGTTGAGAACAACTGTGGTTTAGATCAAGAGCATAAGCTCTCCTGGAACTGTGGCAAATCACTAGATCCACAATATCCTACAATGGGTTTTCAATCTTCATCTTCCTCATTTGAGCATGTTGAAGAACATCTGTCATCTCAACCATAATCATGCAAGCAAGCCCTTTTTTTAAATCATTTCACTTTAGGTTCTGGGATACGTGTGCAAAATGTGCAGGTTTGTTATACAGGTATACATGTGCCATGGTGGTTTGCTGCATCCATCACTCCATCATCTAGGTTCTAACCCCCGCAAGCATTAGGTATTTGTCCTAATGCTCTCCCTCCCCTTCCTCCCACTCCCCAGCAGGCCCTGGTGTGTGTTGTTCCCTTCCTCGTGTCCATGTGTTCTCATTGTTCAACTCCCACTTATAAGTGAGAACATGTGGTGTTTGGTTTTCTGTTCCTATGTTAGTTTGCTGAGAATGATGGCTTCCAGCTTCATCCATGTACAGACAAAGGGTATGATCTCAATTCTTTTTTATGGCTACATAGTATTCCATAGTATACATGTGCCACATATTTTTATCCGGCCTATCACTGATGGGCATTTGGGTTGATTCCAAGTCTTTGCTATTGTGAACAGTGTCACAATAAACATAAGCGTGCATGTGACTTTATAGTAGAATGTTTTATAATCCTTTCAGTATATACCCAGTAATGGGATTGCTGGGTCAATACTTCTGGTTCTAGATCCTTGAGGAATCGCCACACTGTCTTCCAAAATTATTAAACTAATTTACACTCCCACCAACTGTGTAAGAATATTCCTACTCCTCCACAGCCTCACCAGCATCTGTTGTTTCCTGACTTGTTAATAAGCCCCATTCTGGCTGGCCTAACACTTGGCAGGCGTGCATGAGCCAACACAGGACACACCTAGAGCAGGTAGGTACATGACCGCCGGAGTAACAAGACCCCCTGGGGGTGGCATGAGGAAGGAAGGAAGCGGGACTGACGGTACTGGATGCACCTGGCCCCAGCCCTGAGCACGCCCCTGGACAAACCCTTGTGTCGAGGGCTCACTTTCAATAGATCGCAGTGAGGGAGCTGCTCTGTTACTCATGAAACCCCGACCCAGAAGCAGGTAGTCTAGGAACGGTTTAGCGCCAGGTTTTCCACTAACGTTGGGTGACAGATGAGGGGGCAGCCACCTTTCTGGCCACGCTCCATTTCCCAGGATGAGGAGCTCTGCGCACCAGACCCCAGTCTGGTGTCTCATTGCAGTTTTGATTTGCATTTCTCTAATGATCAGTGATGAACTTTTAAAAATATTTTTTTGGCCACAGAAGTGCCTTCTTTTGAGAAGCGTCTGTTCATATCCTTTGCCCACTTTTTGATGGGGTTGTTTTTTTCTTGTAAATTTAAGTTCCTTGTAGATTCTGGATATTAGACCTTTGTCAGATGGGTAGATTACAAAAATTTTCTACTATTTTTTGGGTTGTCTGCTCATTCTGATGCTAGTTTCTTTTGCTGTGCAGAAGCCCTTTTAAACTTTTTTTCCTTTTCCTTGAAAATATCAAACTCACATATAGTTCACAGACTGGGGAGAAAATCACTGGACTCCCTCACGCCAAATCTCACATTGAGTGGGCTCGTTTCCTGCTTCCTACAAAACCAAATTCAATTTATTCTCTGGTGTCAGTTTTTCACACTGCTGTTTACAACATGTTTTTCTCATTACTGTACATAAATTTCATCATTCCAGGTTGTCTTTATGCTGTCTCAAGTTACATAAAGTCTCTTTTCGGCAAGCACACGCCAATGAATGATCTTTCTTCTTTTCTCTATTCAGGTTTTCTGTGCATCATTATCAGGTATAGTGATGATGCCAGTGCTGTGAATCTGGCACAAATAGCAATTAAGACAGACACAGCAGCAATGTTATGTGGACTTCTTTTCTATTCCCCAGAATAACTGTCCAACTGAGTTCAAAATGGACATCAGTTGGGAATGTGTACAAGCAGCCAAAAAAAAAAAAAAAAAAAAAAACCAGGCAGGTTCATCATATGTCTTCGCCCGAAATTCTTAGAACAAGATATTAGCATCATATTTCTGACGTTGTGATTTTTTTTCCCTCTGTTAAATCTGCCTGGAAAATTCCAAACATCCAAAATTAAAACAACCATAACAACAACTTCTGTAAAATAATTGAATTGAATAAAGTAAATACATGGAATTACAGAGGATATTTAAAAACAATCTGAGAATGAAGTCTCTATCACCTTCAGAGAACAGGAAGTAACAACGTCCGTTTTCTGGAGGATATTTAACTCTTCAAATCACTGGGGAGGCCAGATATGAAAACAGAGAGGAGCTATGAAAATGAACACTAGCAGCTGCTTCTGCTTGATTAGGTATCAAAGGAAATCTGGAAATTTAACCATAAAGGCTGAGCCTTTCAGGATCAGCCAACAGCTAACATATATAATTGCTGCAAAACAAATGATCTTAACTTATACCAAACTAGTCCTTTCTGGTGAGATCGCAAGTTAGGCTTAATCAGAATTAAAGCAAATTTCAGGTCAAGAGTACAAAATCAAATTATCCCACCAAGCAGAGTAGTAGCTCCCTCCTTAACTGCTATAGTTGAGTTCCTGAAACTCTAATAAACTGTGTAGGAGGAATTTAAGAGCTTTTAGGAAAAAATGGGCCAGGGATGTATTATGAAAGCCCAGATAATTAGCTTGTTCACCAAAATAAAACAAAATAAATACCAATGATATTTTATGTTAGCGATAGTGGATATCAGGCAATTAATTTCCTTTCTGACCTCAAGATGAAGATGATAATGCATCAGTGAAAATGCTTGGTTATAACAGTAGTAACAGGGAAAGAATAGAGAAAATTGCATTTCATCTGAAGAGATGTAAGCTCAGTCTTCTTCTCTTCTCTCATCCCCAGCACACGAATCATCACATCAACTGAGCCATCAGAGTCTGAATCCCAAGGTTCAACTTGTGTGCGACATTTCTACTTCCTGTTTGCAGAACGGGTTTGAATGACATGGTCTAATTGTCCAACCTCTTCTCCCCTGTCAAGCAAGCAGAGAGAAAAGACTTATTGGTGTTTGTTTGGAGGTTTACTACTACTGCTTTATAGGATTGTGAGTAATCTTATAAGCCTTACCTGAGAGTAAATATGTAGTCCACCAAAGGATCTCTTTCTTTTGAATCATTGTTTCAATTTCATTTGCGGAATAGATACTTGAACATTCTTAGAGTTCTGGATGTTAACCTATGCTGGCTTCTTTTATTACCTTTTGATGTAATCACATCTCCAAAATAGTTCTCAACTACGTTTTGAAGGTGAGAGTCTAACAATTCAGTAATGTCACTTAGCTCAATATCCTCAAGGCCCTCACTACTCAAATGCTTTGCAGATATTACAGTATTTTCCATTTCTTCTACCACAGGAAGGAAGCCTTCCGAGTCAGTCACAATCTCATTCCAAAATTTCTGCCAGACTTCATGAAATGTTAATTGTTTTATTTGTCTCACTGATTCTTCTACACTTGTGAAAGAATTACAAATGGAGAAATTTTGCCAAGCTACTTTCATGGTAAAGTTCTGGTGTCTCTGATAAGATCTGCAGGTAGTCAAAATACATGCTGAGTATAGTACATCACCAACTATTTTAGCACTCTCAGATGCATGAGTTGAAGGGTGCAGTCATACTGGGGTAAGGGAGATGACTTCAGCACAAGGAGCAGCATTTACAACTGCATTTTTGTCTCTAAGAGCAGTGTCCAGAGTCAGCAACACTGTGAAGTCAAGATGTTTTATTCATTTAAATATTATTTAGCCTAAGAAAAAAACACTTCAAAGACCAGTTCGAAAAGAGTTTCTCAGTGATCTGTATTTTATGGTTTCTCTTCATGTAGACAGAAAAGTGTTTCTGGCTTTCTCTTTAAAGAAGGTAATAATTTTGGCATCTGCAACGCAACATGGGTTTAATCAGAAAGCACTGGAACAAAGCAGAACTTTGAGCTTGTCTTTTCCAGGCTGAAGCCTCAGTCCTTTTCTCATGCTTTGCAATAGATGTGCAGGTAAGCATTTGCTTCCAGAGTTTCAGCAGCACTGACAACCTGCTCAGGCAAATTGCCATTTTCCTCAATCATCTCTTCAGGTGTTCATGATACTCTTTGGCAACTTCATAATCTGCTTCCTCTGCCAGCCACGTCTCCAATTCTTTTCATTACAGGACATAGAATTTGTTTTTTTTGAGACAGAGTTTCGCTCTTGTCAACCAGGCTGGAGTGCAATGGCACAATCTTGGCTCATTGCAACCTCTGTCTCCTGGGTTCAAGCGATTCTCCTGTCTCAACCTCCCGAGTAGGTGGGATTACAGGCGACCTCCCACATGCCCAGATAGTTTTTGTATTTTTAGTAGAGACAACCTTTCACCATGTTGGCCAGGCTGGTTGCGAACTCCTGACCTCAAGTGATCCACCTACCTTGCATTTCTTAAACCAACCGAACCACTCATTAGGTGCAATGAATGTTTATAATTTTCCATACAGATTGAAATTTAAATTTGCATTTTTGTGATGTTCAGTGGCAGATTTTACATACAGAAAGAGACCTATTCAACCTTCTCTGTTCAGAAGCCACAAGTACAAATCTCTTAATATTTTCTCTGTGAGATTTTGAGATATGTATGATTTTCTCATTGATTCTGCTGTGCCCCTGATTCACTGGCCCCAACTGCTTTCTCATTTTTCTTTATTGTATGATATGTAGGTTTATTAACACCAAAAATATGCCCTAGGAAGTGTTGTTTTCACTATTATCAAGCATTTGAAGAACTTTCATTGTGTTCACTATTAACATAATCTTTCTTACCATCTTTGCCCTTCTTGCATTTCTATCATCCCTCTTCTTGTTCTTTTGCTTGCACCCATTCTCACCCTAACTTATGCAAATTCACAATGACTGAAAGTTCTCTATCACTGAGAAGTACACAGTATTAATTTGTAATACTTAAGAACCAAATGATAAAATTCACAAGACAAATAAAAGGCTAACCAGTTTTTGTATGACAACACGTGTGTCACCAATGGCTGCAGAGGCAACAATAACAAGCAGAAGAACAAGGGTAAAACAAGTAACCCAAATATTGGTCTTCTCCCAGGAGATAGCAAGAAACATGATGGTGACTTGAACTTGCATATCATTCCAAAGCTCTCAAAGGCGCAGACTTAGGTAAACTCAAATTTTGTATGAGAATGACTTGCAGTTGTGAAGCGATTGTCAAACTCAGGAGTCACAGGCTACCAGGCTGAGGTGAGAAGCACACCATCTAGGAAAAAACAAACACAAAAATAAGAAATGAGGTCAGGAACAGAGGCAGTCTAAATGAGTAGCTTAGGAGCTAGTGAGAAAGACAGAAATTGGAGTAATAAAAATATATGCCAAATTGCCCTTACAAACATTGTGTGCCTATTTGTATGCTAAAAGCAAATGAGAGTTCTTTCCTCTCATGTACTCACCAACAGGACACATAATCAACATTTGTGACTTGTATCAATTAGAAGGTAAATAACAAGGTGTCTAATGTTTGTTTTAGTTCCTTTTTCAATCATCTTTCCTCTTTAAATATTTGTTCTGTCCTTTTTCCATGTTATAATTTTTTTCTTACTGATTTGTAGGTACTGTTAACATTTTAGAGAACTTATTTTTAATCCTGTCTATATTGCAAATATTTTCTCCAAGCATGTCATTTACTTTTGAATTTTATTTATTTTTGTCTTTTGCCATAAAGATGCTTCAAATATTTATGTAGTAACTGTTTCTGCCTTGCTTTGAAAAGCCTTCCCCACAGTAAGATAATACAAATATGTTCACTTATTCTTAGTATTTTTATAGTTCTCTGGCAGTATTTCAAGGTATTAAGGGAAGAATGGTCTACTTAAAAAATGGTGTTGGAATAAACAACTGATTATCCATCCACAAGTGTCTGGAGTTATCTCTCAATGGTCTTTCTCCTCTCTGAACCTGAGAGGTTCTGGTAATGTCATAACTTCCAGGTAACCAGGTTGAGGGCTCAAGCTGATCTTAGCTGATCCCTCAGTTTCTATGGGTTAGTGAAGCTTAGAGAGGAAAGTGTTTTCTAATAGTAGTTACTATTTTGCTGGCTTAAGTTTTGTTCTTCTACCAATCCATACTATGACTCATATCAACTGAGCAACCGTACCAACTTCTCAGATCTCAGATCTTCTGATAACGCTTCACTAATAATTAATAAATTAATAGTCACTCATAGTTTTGGAAGAACTGAGGAAATCTGAGCAGTAATAGGCTGTTAGATGACATTAGGTAACTGCTGTTGATTCTACTGGGTGCAGTAATGAACTATGGTAATATAAGTAAATACATGTTCTGTTGGGGGAGGAGCTGAAGCAAATACATATGTTATCAGTAATTTGTTATGAAAAAATGTTAACAATTTTTATGTTAGTGTTTTGAGATGGAGTCTCACTGTGTCACCCAGGCCGGCATGCAGTGGCACGATCTTGGCTCACTGCAACCACCTCAGCCTCCGGAATAGTCGGGATTACAGGCATGAGCCACCATGTTTGGCTAAATTGTTACCAACTTTTAAATCCAGGTGCTTGGTAGGTGGGCATTATAATTAGCATATAATGAGCAGTGAGATGACCAAAGGTCGCTTTCATCATTGGTTTTGGTGAGTTCTGGCCAGCTTCTTTATCACATGCTGTTTTATCAGCAAAGTCTTTGTGACCTCTATCTTGTGCTGACTTCCTAGTTCATGCCTTCACCTTCTGCGTATACAGCCCAATAGGTCTCAGCCTTATTTCACCCAGCTCCTATTCAAGATGGAGTCATTCCGGTTCAAACGCCTCTGATACCACCTCTTGAGGAACTTTTCCCTGATTCCTCTTGCTGGCACTGAATTGATGATGGAAACTCTCAGAGCCTTCCTCCAATGCTTACTCTGATTACAACACTTAGGTTGTTTCACTATAGTGCCATCTGTTTCCCTGTGTTTGAATCATTTGGGAATACCTTGACAGTAACTGGAATAGAACAGGTCTTCATTTTATAGCACAAATGTGTACAGTACAGAAAGTAAGGCCAGCATGCAACACTCTCAAAAGGAGTAGCATTTGAATGGGACCTTGAAGAATGGGTAGAATTTTTAGTGTGTGGAGGAGAAAGCAAGCAGGTGGAAGGGACAAAGGCAGGGGCACAAAATTGCTGGGTACGATGGAATCAGATTAGGGATAAAGCTGCAACAAAGGATAGCTGAAGTGGGCAGTAAAAATAAAACTGGAAAAGATTTGTTGAGGCAAATGTAAGGGCTTCAGGTGCCAGATTTCTTAGATGAGGTGGCGTTGTTTAGCTGTCTTGATATTAACAAAAGGGTTTATGTTTGCAATGAATAAAAAAGCAGATATTTAGGATTAATCTGACCTATTCTTCCTTGTTACTAGGTTTTAGCACACAAAATGTATGGAAAATTTGCTTTCATGTGGGGGAGAAAAAATGAATTTCATTGCATGCTACGGAAATCAATGGGATTATAGAATTACCACTTGCAAATAGAAGACAGAATCTAACACTGAAATGGAAGATGTCTGGAAAACATAAAAGGATTGGTCTAGAAAGATGTAAAAGCTGAAGCAAATGTAGATGAAGGAATGATTGGGGCCTATGAGGCCCTCCATGATCTGGCCCCAGACTATTACAATAGTTTCCTGACTAATTATGCTATAACCAAGTCCACCCTCATAGCCACTAGGTTTTATTTCCAAATCAGCACCTCTGCTATGTTGTGCTTACTCAACAAGCCTTCAGTTGCTTCCCAATACCTACAGGACACATTCCAAACTCCTTGAACTGACCATCAGTGACCTTGTCCAAATTCTTGCTTCCTGCATTTGGGGGCACTACAATTCACCTTCCCCAAGAAAGGCTCTCTGGAAAGACTAGTTTACCCATTGGCTGCTGACCAAAATCACATTTGTGCCTCTGCTCACACCATTCCATCCAGCTGGAATACCTCCTCTTTCCCCTCTACCTATGGAATCTGATCATCCAACTCAAGTCCAATTTATTCCATTAAATCACCATCAAGAAGACATGAAGCCTTAGAGACAGTAACTAGGTCTTATATTTACATATATTGTGCATGTATATTAGTACAAATATATATACTAATATATACATACACTAATATGCATTATATATAATATATATATATATATAATGTTTGAGAATATTATATATACTGCATCATAGGTTCATTCAGAGGCCCAGAGAGAAGCAGTAGTGATCTTTCACAGCTTCTAAAGTTACTATTACACTTCTATTGTATAGGTACAGAATGGATGTGTTAACACTAACCCTTTAGTTACAGTCAAATTATCTTAACATTTCATTTCCTCTCCGTTCCTGAGGTCTTCAATTTATACTTTGAATGAAGCATTATCGAAGGAAGAAGGGAGTAAGGTCAAGGAAATGGAACTAATATGTTTTGACGTGAGCCCTCAGTGTGTGGCAAACCCTTTATAACGGGATCATATTTTGACCTTACAATAGCCTGTATTTGAAGAAGCAGAAGCTCAAAGATAATATGTGGCATGCCCAAGGTCACACAGCTAGCAGCCAAGCTCCAAACTCCAATACCCATGTGTTTTACACTAAACTAAGCTGTTTTCCCTTGAAATGTCTGCCAAGTAGCTGTCATTCACATTCTGGTGCATGTGAAAATTCTGTCATGGATCTGTGTTATGGTTCAAATGTTTGTCTCCTCCAAAAGTTTTGTTAAAATGTAATTACCACTGTAACAATATTAAGAAGTGGGATCTTTGGCCAGGTGCTGTAGCTCACAACTATAATCTCAGCACTTTGGGAGGCCAAGGTGGGTGGATCACCTGAGGTTGGGAGTTCAAGACCAGCCTGACCAACATGGAGAAACCCCGTCTCTATTAAAAATACAAAATTAGCCAGGCATAATGACGCATGCCTGTAATCCCAGCTACTCAGGAGGATGAGGCAGGAGAATTGCTTGAACCTGGGAGGCGGAGGTTGCAGTGAACCAAGATCATGCCATTGTACTCCAGCCTGGGCAAAAGAGTAAAACTTCGTAAAAGAGGTGGATCTTCAAGAGGTGATTAGGCTCCACAGTCATAAATAGATTAATGCCATTTTCATGGTAGTGGATTCCTTACAAAAGGGGAAGTTTAGCCTCTCTCTCTCTTTTGCCATGAGATGACACAGCAAGAAAGCCCTCACCAATTGTCAGTCCCTCAGTCTTGGACTTCTCATCCTCCATAACCACATGAGCAAGTTCCTCTAATAAATCCCCTCTCATCCCGTCTATCTAGCTATCTAGCTAGCTATCCCATTGGTTCTGTCTTTCTAGAGAACTCTGACTAATACAAACTAGTTTATAGCTTGTTTAAAAACTTCAGAGAAAAGATGTCTTCAAAATATTCTACTCTGAGTAAGAGACAAAGATTACTTTATGAAATTATTCGAGTTCTCTTGCATAACCAATGTTTAAGAGGCACAAGTTACTAAATATGTATAGAACCACTTATTTAGACAATATTATATGCAAATGAATCTAAGCAGCTCTAGACCTAAACAATAAGCTAATGGAAAATTAATACATCATGTTCGAATTAAAAATATTATTAACAATAATGGAAAAAATAATAAGTAAATAACACTTATAAAGTGATTTTTCTGTGCCAGGCACTGTTCTAGCTGCTTTACATATATCAACTCACTTAATATTTAATACAATCCTACGCGATAGATATTATTATTATTATTATTATTTTTTGAGACGGAGTTTCGCTCTTGTTACCCAGGCTGGAGTGCAATGGCGCGATCTCGGCTCACCGCAACCTCCGCCCCCTGGGTTCAGGCAATTCTCCTGCCTCAGTCTCCTGAGTAGCTGCGATTACAGGCATGCGCCACCGTGCCCAGCTAATTTTTTGTAATTTTTAGTAGAGACGGGGTTTCACCATGTTGACCAGGATGGTCTCGATCTGTTGACCTCGTGATCCACCCGCCTCGGCCTCCCAAAGTGCTGGGATTACAGGCTTGAGCCACCGCGCCCGGCCTATTATTATTATTTTATAGATGAGGAAGTTAAGTTCAGAGAAGTTACATACTCTGTCCAAGGTCACACATTTATTAAGCAGCAAAGCCTAACATATACAGCTATGCAATCTTGCTCTAGACGCCACACTCAACCATTACAATATACTTGAAACTAATGATGTTAAGCTCTTTTCTTGTCATTCTTAACTGCTCAAAATCATC